CCCCAAAACCCCAAAACCCCATAGCATAAAAATGTTACAATTCTAAATAATTTTTTAATTAACCAATAGCATTAAATTAGATGACTTACTCAAACTCCTAAAAGCATGAGAAATTTTCTTTGATAGCGTTATTTTTAAATAGTAGCTTAATGATTCAGCACTTACATTTTTTGGCTTATTGTTTATTTTTATTCTTTGTATGAAAAGATTGCTTTAAACTTAATGTTCGAGTATTAATTGATTATTACGTTGCTTGATAGTTAATGTTATAATTATTGGGGGTTATATAGTTTTATTATTTTGATTACTGAGGATTCTATTCTAAAGTTTATTGAATGCTGTTTAAATTTTATTCTCCTTTCTTGGGTTATGGTATGATATCATGAATGCTTTCGTTATCACTGGATGTATCGTTATTTGATTCCTTTCTCACGCTAAGTTTAGGTAATCTCTTTGTTACTCTATTACATTTAATTTTAATACTCTCATCCCAATTTTGCTCTATTAATACATCATATGATATTCTATTGATCAATTAATCTTCAACTACTATCTCCATAAGATTTTTAAAACCCTCTTCAATGCCTTGACCAGATTCAGCGTTTATGGTGAATAGGTCAATCATGTAATTCTGAGAATAGGTAAATTTTTATTCAAATTATAAAGTATCTTGTTGAGTTGAAATTTCAGAGAAATGTGTATCTTGACAGAATTTATTGATAAATATAGCAGATGGAAATGGTAATTATCCTGGAATTTATGTCCTTAAATCAAAATTGTACTTCCATTACAAAGATCTATAAAATTATTGTTTTTAAGTATTCAAATGGATTTCTGTAATTTGATGGAATCAATCACTTACTCTTTTATTATATCAGGTTCATCTGACTTTGAAACAATTATACATCCAACAGCATTCCGAATACAGAGTGGTGTAAATGCTGTTGATGGATCTTAAGTCCCTGTTATATCCCATAACTAAACTCTTATCTTTTTTCCTTTAACTTTTAAGATTTTAAGGACGAAATCCATTGATATAGAATTACTATCCAAATCTTTCTTTTCTAATATTTAACTTTAGCTTTCATTGTTAAGTATTTGTAGGTCAGTCATTTCTCCAGATCTTAGGATATTTTATATCAAACTGGTCTTTCCAGATTTGGGTTATCCTACTACAAGAATCTTGTACACTTCCATTATTATCCTAAAATTATGATAATGCTTAATATTAAATTCTTGATTATAATCACTTATGGGGTTTTGGGGTTTTGGGGAGATCGG